CAGAGCCCAGCTGGCGAGCGCAGGAGGCAGGGTTTCCATTGCTTCGTGCCTTTTTTGGGTGAGCGCGGCTTCCGCGCTACCAGCAACTGCTCCCGACTCCTTTTTGCAAGGCACCGCCAGCATTTTTCCTCCCACCAAAGTGAGAGTACCCATGTATCTACTCACGTAAGTTTTCGAACTATTGGGTTGACAGGAACAGGAGCTCACTCTGCTACGCGAAGGCTGGGCTCGAACCACTGAAGTGTCAACAATTTCTGGCCAGCAACTTTCAGCGTCATTAAGCCGCTGCGCCACCGCATCCCCCCGTATGCATGTTAGAGAATAACAAACAAGACTGAGTCTACAATTGAGCCCAGAGCCAGTTAGAGACTGCAACCAAGTATTTGATTAAGGGCCTGGCAAAATTCACACCCAAATGCTAAGAAGTTGGGATCATTAAGCATTAGTCACGTGCATGGACAAAGTGTGCTGTACATGCCAATATAAGTCCATGATACATTTAATAAACTTATTTCATATTTTGTTGAAAATAAACTTGAATTTTTTGGAGGTGTTATTATCTGAATTGTATTAATATTTTCACTTGATAACCAGGTTGTAAATTTAGCTGATATCTTGATTTCCAGAACTAATACAACAGGCTTATTTGAGATTCTGCTAAATCAGACAGGTGTTTCAGAAGTTTCTGTCACAAACTGATCTTCTTTTTGCAGCCTATTGTGTAGAATTAACATCATACCCCATTCTTTAGCAAATACTTCCAGTTATCAAAATGCTTTTATGATAGGCATATGACTGCAGGTGTTGCATATCTCACCTTTAATATGATCACTTTGATCACAAGTCATCCTCTTTTATGACACTTGAAGAATCAGGGTGATAGATTTTCATCATTCAGTTTGGCTGTATGTTTGATTTTGATTTTGTGTTGTGTGAACCTAGTGATTGCTATTTATAAATTGAGGTTTATGTCTTGTAGCTAACTGTGCTTTACTCAATAAATATTAAGCAAAGAGTGGTGCACCACAAAGTACAAAGCAGGCCGTAGCTGTTATAGGTTACCACACCATATCATCACCTGGTAAACAATCATCTGCATTTACCCTGGTCAGATATCACCAGAATGTTGTATTTAGTTAATACCTAAACTAAAGTCTACCCTTTTGGCAATGACAAGTACTTAGTTGTTATTTGTAACAGATTATTAAAAGGGGCCCATAGCAATGTCAGATTTATTTCTGTTTTGTGCTTGTTGTAATACCTGTCCCAGGTACCTCAAGATGAATGGGGAGGTTACCCTGCTGGTGGTAAAGATGAGGAGATTCCCTGCAGAAGGATGAGAAGTGGAAGTTATATTAAAGCCATGGGAGATGAGGAAAGTGGAGATTCTGACACTAGTCCCAAAACATCACCAAAGGTAGCAGTCCATCCGGAGTCATTGTTAAAATCTATTGGACAAAGAGCCCTTGGTGACCACCAGAAGTAAGCCTCTCAAAGCTTTTTCCTATTTTATTTTTGTGAGTTTCATTTCTTTCTGCTATTTCTTCATCTTATGCTTCAGCTGATACTGTTCTAAAAATAATATTGGTTGGATACATACTTTCCCAAATAAAGTTGATGCTTTTTATTGCTGGTGGGAAAATAATTTCTTACCCTATAACAACAGACCATTGTGTTTCAGAGGATTAATATCAAATCAGTATTCAAAGTATAAAACACCTGGTTGTTGGTCAGTTAGAGTGGAGTACTTTAAAAAGAAAAAGAAAGAAATGAGGGCATAGTCACATGACTATGTTAAAATGCCATCCACCATTCCTTGAGCTGGCAGAAAAGTATGCCAGCATAACTGCCAGACCCTATTCTGTCACAGTAATGAGGCCAGTGAGTGGTTCTGTCCTTACTGTTTTAATGCAGGACAAGTTACGGAAACTGATTGATGGATTCCCCACCTTGTTCCCCTTCACCAATCATTTTTCCTAAGGGGGAATGGTGTAGAGTGTGGACAGGTGCTTAGAATGTTTAGCCACTTCTCAATTGCCTAATTAATAGGTTGCAACTATAGAGATGTTCCATGTCTGTGTCCCTTCAGTTGGGCATTTCCTGAAAACAGGTCTAGTGCTCTTCAAGTGCCCAAAAATAGCCTGGCTGACAAGACATAAACCTGAAAGAGGGGCCTAGGGTGAAGTGGTAGAAAGCAATCAGTAATGAGTTGAGAGCTCTGAGAGAAAGAATTAATCATCTTTCACATATACACAGTGAAACAAGTTCTATCCAACAATGTATCTAACCATAGACATGGAGTTCACAAGGAATCTTGCTGCTTTGAAACCCCATGTGACCATCAGCTCCTTGCTTATATCACAGAGAATAGTCTTTTCAGAATGAGAGTTCTAATTGTCTCTCAAGGCCCTGGCTGAACACCCTGTCCTTATCTTGGAACAGAATAAGAATATTCATTCTGTAAAACATTTGAAAGTTGGCTAACTAGGAATTTTTTTTAGTCTTTTCATAAGGGAGAAGTTGCTGTCAAAATCAAAGTCATATATACATTGTGATGCTCTGTTAACTCATGACTGGGGAAGAAGCAACAAGTGTGATGGAATGGAATTATGAAGGCCAAGCTCAGGGAGATTGGTGTCAGGCCTAGCCCAAGGAACTCCAAGAGACATGCAAATTCAGTCCAGCTATGTTTATTAGAAACCACCTCTAGAAAGAATCTCCCCAGACAAAAACCCCAGTCCCCAAAGCCCCCCAGCCACAACAGTGTGAATTCCTCAGGGAGGTGCCAGTCTCATCCTTTTGTACCTCCCATGCGGTGCCGGTGAGCTAA